GAGTCTAATTTGTATATTTTTGTTTCCAAATGTCCTTCAGTGTGGGTCCATCCACTGGAGCCTGGTTAACCTACCAAGAGTCCCATGCTTGAAAGAGACTATCTCTGCCTTTCCCAGCAGCCATCTGTTGCCACAATTTCCTTAGGTGGGATTGAAGCTTTTTACCGACTTCCTCATGTTTATGCTGGGGTTTTGTCTGGTTTGAGCTTGCATAAGACTTGTGCATGCTGTGAATTCATATGAGTAATTGACCAGATGTTGGAAAACTCTGTTTCCTTGTGGTCACTTACCACCTCTGACTTTTACAATCATTCTACTCCCTCTTCTGCAAAGATCCCCGAGCCTTGGGTGGCAGAGGACACCTATTCAGGGATAAGCACTCTGCAGCCTCTTGTTCTCTGCACATTGGCCAGTTGTGAGTTTCTGTGTTAATCACTATCTTCTGCATAAGGAAAATTCTCTGGTGAGAGCTGAGAAATGCATTAATCTATGGATATAACAATAAGTCATTAGGAATCAGTTTAATTCCGTCACTATTTGGTTCTCCCCTATGTCCTGTGACCTGTCTAACCCCAGGTTCCCAAGCCTGATACCAAAGTCAGGTATGGGATCCATTCTATGAAGCAGACCTTAAATCCAACTAAAGAGTGGTTGGTCACGCCCATAATATTATGGCACTATTGCACTGGTGGGCATATCTTGCCAGGCCAGTTGTTATTGTAGTACACAGGATTCACAGCTGGGTGGGACTGATGATTATTTTTCCTTCTGGTAGCATGCACAATACCTTCCAGCACTATTGACACTAGTGAGTAGGCATGAGGCTCTGAAGTCAGCACCAGCTCAATTTCTCCTTGTTTATTCTACAGCTCATGTATGTAGTGTCTTTAGCAATAGGGTCTTACCACCCACCTCTGGTGGGTAACTAAGAGCAGAAGAAATGGCCAGTATTGTTTGAGGGTGTATGGGACCCCTAGCCAACTGCTTCTAGAGAAGGAGTCCTGGTATTCAGGGCTTTTTTTAGCCTATGCTATCTAAATGGGACAACGTCCTCTTGACACAGGGTAATTCCTTTTAATCTCTTTTAATAATGTATATGTATATTCCTTAAGACGTTTCTATAGTGGTAAATTTTCATATGGCTTTTCCTAACGGTCTTTAATGTTACTTATCCCTCCCCATACTTTCTCCTCTGCCCTGCCCTTCCATTCCCCACCTCATTTAACCCTTCCTACCTATTCTAATATTCCCCTTTCCCTCATCATATCACTGCATTCTACCTCACCTCTCAGGAAGCCTCCCCCCAACACATACTGTTTGTTAGTTTCTTAACCTCTGAATTTTCAAATTGAAACATACATATCTCAGATTTCAAAGCTAGCATTCAGTTATGAGAGAGAATATGTGATGTGATTATTTTTATATTTTATTTTGCAATACTAGGGATTGAATCCAGGGCCTTCTATATGCTAGGTAAGTGCTCTACTACTGAGCTACACCTCTGGTCTTTTGTATGTCATTTTGCAGTCATGTTTTTCCTCTTGGTCATATTTTCCTGGGTTTATGTCATTTTTATTGTGGGCTGAATATTGCCTACAGTAGATTCACTAAATGCTTCAGATGACCCACATGCATCACCAGACACACTTCCCCTTTCTTAGGTAGGGGGAGTAAGGGGCTGAACACTTCAGGCTAATTGGTGCTTGGATTAGGTTTCAGGCTGCTTCAATCCTAGTAGGAGCTAACCTTTCCTAAGGTATAGTTCTTTTTGGTTTGGGGTTGACAACCTAGCTATCTCTGTCTCTTCAGCCCTGCCAGACTGTGGGAGATTAGTTTCATCATTTTGGAGGGTGCCAGTAGGTTTTTAGTTGTCCTTCCCACACTGCCTCCACACCCTGCCTCCCAACATACACGTACACAACTTTAAATATTTGGGAAATGTAAAGAGGGGGAGATTATGTGTGTTTGAGGCAAACCCTCCCCTCTATTCTTTCAAGTATTAGTGGATCTTGGGAGATTCTAGTCATTCTTTTAGCATTCCTCAGCTTAGCCCTCCAGCTCTTTTGCATAGCCCCAGAATTCAGATGACCTGTGGGGAAGATTAGTCATACATTCAGAATGATATTTTAACTTTCTAATCTACTTTGAAAGCCTCTTTTGTCTGACAAAAAACTTTGCTGATTTCTCTCATATCCATGTTCTCCTGTCTCCTCATGGTCACCAAATCAAATACTCCCTGAGAAGAACCAAGCTGGTGATGTAATTTCACTCTGGAAGGTCCTCTAAGTCTAAGAGCAGTTCCAACTCTTTCCATCCTTGCTGCATTTATGCCTCTCGATTTATTTTTTATTTATTTTTTGTTATCCCACATCTTTTTATTAGAAGAAGCATTTCATTACAGCTTTAATGTACTCAATAACAATTTCCAGAGCAAAGATACATCTCTTTCAAAAGTGGCTATAAAAATTTTTAAGTTCACAGTTGAATTACTACAGTTATACAATATTGAACTCAGTATAAACCCTGTAAGACATAAAATTGAATAAGTTTTTAACCTTTAAAAAAGATCTCCATTTCATTTTTAAAATATACTGTTTTTTACAGAAAGACTCATTGTTTTTGCTAATAACACTTAGATGTTTGCGCATGCGTCTCTAATCTGTCTGCATCTGATTATTACTAGTCATGGTTGGTTGCACTCAGATCCTTGGCACCCGTGTATGGATATAAAGTCATTGGGTAGATTTCAATGCTTGATTTATTTTTTTAATGTAGCCAAGTACGGTGATGCATACCTGTATCCTCGGGACTTGATAGGTAGAGACAAGAGGATCAGGAGTTCAAGATACTGAGTGAATTCAACGCCAGCCTAGGGTTCATGAGATCCTGACTCAAGAAAATTGATTTGTGTAATTTATCCAGGTTTCCTAGTAGTTGAAGTGGAAGTTTTGGCATCCTACTCAGGAACAGACAGTCAGACACCCAGCCTGGGAGCAGTCAGGAAGAACCACAACTCAAGGAACCCAAGAGAGGAGAAGCCTACTGAGTGTGTGAGCTGCAGTGTATTACAAGAGCCTTGGATAAGCTGCCCCTCCAGAGCCACATGGTGGAACTTTGAATGCAGAAATAGAGACACAAGTTTAAGGACTTGGTGTCAGAGATCAACAACCTAAACCACATAGCATGAACTCTTGAGATGAGGACCAGAGGAAAGCTTTCCAAAGCACTTTCATAATCACAATCCAATAATCAACTGTTTATTTCTGATTTTCCCATAGGAAAGTCAGGGTCTTTTTGCCTGTATTTTTAACTTCTATTGTCCTCAGAACAATATATAAAAGTTTCTGTTTCATAGACTGTTAACTACTATCTGGAAGATTTGGGCTTCTGAAAGTAGAAATCAACACCATAACCTACCATCAGTCCTCTGGAGTTGGCTGTAAATAATTGTGCTCATATTGACTAAGAATAAACACTATGGAATTATCATTCCACAATCCTTTGCTTCTCTGGTTCCCAATACCCAGATGTTCCAGACCTCTAACTCTGTCCCACTATGGAGACTACACCTTGTAATGGATCAGTAGATGGCTCAACCGTCTTCTACCTGGTGGGCATCCCCTCCCTGCCAGAGCCCTTCTACCTTCCTGTGTTCTTTATTTTCCTCCTCTTTTACCTGCTCATCCTTACAGGTAACACCCTGATTCTGGTGGCTGTGGTGGCAGAGCCCAGCCTCCACAAGCCCATGTATTTCTTCCTCATCAATCTCTCGGCCCTAGACATCTTTTTCACCACAACCACTGTCCCCAAGATGTTGTCCCTGTTTCTGCTAGGAGACCACTTCCTCAGCTTCTCTTCCTGCTTATTGCAGATGTACCTCTTCCAAAGCTTCACATGCTCAGAAGCCTTCATCTTGGTGGTCATGGCCTATGACCGCTATGTGGCTATCTGCCGTCCTCTGCACTACCCTGTCCACATGACCCTACAGACTAATGCTGCACTGGCTGCCAGTGCCTGGATCACCGCCCTCATCCTGCCCATCCCAGCAGTCATGAAAACTTCCCAGATGACATATAACCACATCGCCTACATCTACCACTGCTTCTGTGATCACCTGGCTCTGGTCCAATCCTCCTGCTCAGACACCAGCCCCCAGACCCTCATGGGCTTCTGCATCGCCATGGTGGTGTCCATCCTCCCCCTCTTCCTGGTGCTTCTCTCCTACGCTCACATCCTGGCCTCAGTGCTTCGCATCAGATCCAGGGAAGGGCGTTCCAAAGCCTTCTCCACCTGCAGCTCCCACCTGCTGGTTGTGGGCACCTACTACTCCTCCATTGCCATAGCCTATGTGGCCTACAGGGCAGATCTGCCCCTAGACTTCCACATCATGGGCAATGTGGTGTACTCTATTCTCACACCAATTCTCAACCCAATCATCTACACCCTGAGGAACAAGGATGTCAAAGCAGCCATTATCAAAATTGCATATCTCAAAACCAACATGAATATTTGACCTCTTAATGTTGCTAATTCTGCTCCCATGATACAAAATAGCAAAGTGTAGTTCAGAGGAGAATATTCAGAGTGGTACAATGCTCAGAGTGGAAACTCAATAAATATTATTGAATGACTAAATTAATGAATATAACACTGTACAACAAAAATTCACTCAAGTAAACAGCCCCAACAGCAGTCTTCATATTTTGGTTCAAGGCTTTTCCCTTGGTATAATGAAATAATGTTAATCTTTATTCTATAAGAATCTGAAGTTGTATAAAAATTTTACCACTGGATATTTTAAAAACTTGCTGAAGCCTGGGGCTGGAGAGATGGCTCAGTGGTTAAGAGCAGTGGCAGCTCTAGAGGACCTGGGTTTGATTTCCAGCACCCACATGGTGGCTAACAACCATCAGTAAATCAAGTTCCAGGGTATTTGACACCTGATCTTCATGGGCATTGCATGACACAGGTGCACCAACCTACATGCAAGCAATACACTTACACACATAAAATAAAAATAATAATAAAATATTTTTTAAAACTTACTGAATCAAAGATAAATCTGCATGGCACAAAAAACCTTTATAAACAAAGTATATTTTAAAAATTGGGATCTTGGCTGTTCTTGCAGAAGACCCAGGTTTGAATCCCAGCACCCACATGGCAGCTAACAACTGTCCGCAACTCCAGTTCCAGGGGATCTGACAGCCTCTTCTGTCTTCTGTAGGCATTGCACGACACGGGTGCACTTACTTACATGCAGGCATAACATGCATACACACAAAATAAAAATGATAAATAAAATATTTCTTAAAAATTGGGGTCTAGGAACTGGAGAAATGACTCAGCAGTCAAGAATATGAACTGCACTTCTAGAGGACCTCAGTTCAGTTCCATTATCCTTGTCAGGTGGTTCATAACTGCTTGTAACTCCAGCTCTATGGGATCCCCTGCCTTCCTCTGGCCCCTGTGGGGACACACACACACACACACACACACACACACACACACATGCACATACACACACTTTTAAAAATGAAGTCGAACCAGGCATGGGTGTCACACATCTTTAATCTTTCCACTTGGGAGGCAGAGGCAGGTGGATCTCTATGAGTTCAAATCCAATCTGATCTACAAAGTGAGTCAGCAAGAGATATTAAAATCCCATTAAAATCAGGAATCAGACAAGGATGTCCACTATCTCCACTCCTTTTCAACATAGTGCTTGAAACTCTTGCTAGAGCAATAAGACAGGAGAAGGAAATTAAAGGAGTACTAATTGGAAAAGAAGAGGTCAGACTATCACTTTGCAGATGATGTGATACTATACCTAAGAGATCCCAAAAGTTCCACCAGAAAACTCCAAGAAATGATCAACACTTTCAGTATAGTGGCAGGTTATAAAATCAATCTACAAAAATCAGTAGCCTTTCTATATACCAATAACAAGCAACAAGAATACAGGGAAATGCTCCCATTCACAATTGCTGCAAAAATTAAAATATCTTGGAATAAATCTGACCAAAGACACCAAAGATCTCTCCTTAAATCATTAAAGAAAGAGATTGAGGAAGACAGCAGGAAATGGAAGGACCTCCCATGTTTATCGATTAGAAGAATTAATATTGTGAAAATGACCATCCCACCAAAAGCAATGTATCGATTCAATGCAATCCCAATCAAAATCCCCATGACATACTTCACAGAATTAGAAAAATCTATCCTTAAATTCATATGGAAGCACAAAAGACCCCGGATAGCCAAATTAAACCTGAGCACAAAGAGAAACGCTGGGAGGATTACTATACCAGATCTCAAAGTATACTACAGAGCCGTAGTCATAAAAACAGCACAGTACTGGCACAAAATCAGACAATAGATCAATGGAGCATCATTGAAGATCCAAACCCAAGTGCATGAAATTTCAGCCACTTGATATTTGACAAAGGTGCCAAGAACACACAATGGAGGAAACACAGCATCTTCAACAAATGGTGTTGGAAAAACTGGACCTCCACCTATAGAAGAATGAAATTAGATCCTTATTTTTCACCTTGCACAAAAGCCAACTCCAAATGGATCAAAGACCACGATGTGAAACTGAAAACCCTGAAACTATTAGAAGAAAATATTGGCAGTAACTTACAGGATATAGGTGTAGGAAAGGATTTCCCAAATCAGACAGAAGTTGCTCAGGAATTAAGATCAGCAATCAATAAGTGGGATGTCATTAAACTAAAAAGGTTCTGTACAGCAAAAGAAATAATCAAAGAAGTGAAGAGAAAGCCCACAGAGTGGTAAAAAGTCTTCACCAGTAACACATCTGACAGGGGTTTAACATCCAGAATATATAAAGAACTCAAAAAACAAAGAATCGAGAAACCAAACGGCCCTATTAAAAGATGGGCTAAAGATCTGAATAGAGAGCTCTCAAAGGAAGAAATAAAGATGGCTAAGAAATATCTCAAAAAGTGTTCAACATCATTAGTAATTAGGGAAATGTAAATTAAAAACCCTCTAAGATATCCCCTTACCTCAATCAGACTGGCTAGGGTCAAGAGAACAAATGATACCAAATGCTGGCGAGGATGTGGAGAAAGGGGAACACTTGTTCACTGCTGGTGGGATTGCAAACTCATGCAGTGTCTATGGAAAACAGGGTGGAGAACTCTTAAAAAATTAAAAATAAGCCTACCATATGACCCGGTTATACCACTCCTTGGCATATACCCAAAGGACTCATTCTATCGCAGAGACACTTGTACATCCATGTTTGTTGCTGTTCTTTTCACAATAGCTAAGAGATGGAAGCAAACTAAGTGCCCCGCAATTGATGAGTGGATAATGAGAATATGGTTCATTTATACAGTGAAGCTCTATTCAGCAGAAAAGAAAGATGAAATCATGAAATTTGCAGGTAAATGGATGGATCTAGAAACTGTTATACTAAGTGAAGTAACACAGACTGAGAAAAACAAATGACATATGTTCTCTCTTATATGTGGCTCCTAGCACCAAATTATTTTAAATTTCAGGTCCTTTAAATAAGATGATGCTATACAGCAATCCCTTCTACATGAAATAACTACCATTATTACAACTTCGGCTGAGCCCAATCACTAAACATAGTCACAATTGGGTTTGTTGATGGTTGTGCTCTTTCATAAAAGGAGGGCCAAGCAGGGTCACTGGACCCTCACTCAAGTATCCAGCCACTCTTCCTAGCTAACTAGTCAAGCCTTGGAAGACATAAGAAAAATGAAGAAGAACCCAATAGAGGGATGCTTTTGGAAGCCCTTGTCAAGAAATTCCAATGGACGCTCATATGAACATTTGAAAATTGCCCTGTTCTGACTTTTTTCTAGTTCCCTGTCTAGAACTTATAATGCTAATTACTCTTGCCTTTACTTCTCCTTCACATCTCCTATTCACTAGTCAAGGACTTTCTTTTCCCCTTAGGGACAAGAGTTATGCAATTTGGGAGTCTTTTAGATAGACCCACTGAAGGAGTACTCCAATTGCCTCACCCTGTGCCCCTGTTCAGCATGGAAGAAGCCAAAGAGGTCTGTGTTCCTAGTCCCTATTGGCAATTTGGGTAACCCCTTCAGAAGATGGCATGATACGAATAGGAAGTAGGAATTGGCTAGGCAGTTAGGGTAAAAAGACCCCAAAGA